AAAGAAGGATGTTCCCCGGAACCGGTCATCACAATGTCAGTAGGCTTTTGACACAGTTAAGTCAATTCTATCGTCACACCCATCTATGCATATCATTCTAACCTCACAAGCATCCAACCATGGAATCGAAGCAGTCATTTCCAACAGATTTCCCGATGGCTCTGCAAAGGACACTGTCCAGGCGGCCCGACACCAGCCAAACGCAATTACAGTCGTATTTGCCGTCAAGAAATTCCACAAACTAATTTACGGTCTCCATTTCTCACTCTTCACCGATCACAAACCGCAAGTGGTTTAACGTTACCTGCCAGAAATCTGGCAACCTCCTGTGGAGATGAATCTAGGCCATTCACCTTCCTCGTGAATTTCGGGTGGCCCATAAGGTCGTGGTAAGATTACACTTTTTGGGTACAACCTACACCACCTGGCTTAGATCAGGTGATTTATCAATAGCGACTCTGACATTAACCTGGTTTGCCTTTGTCATTACTATTCTGTCTACCTGTTTTAGGATGTTGAAAGCTCTTCGCTCTGCTGGTGCAAATTTTGAGTCTCTGATTGTTGTGAATACTATACTCGCAATTTCTCCGCTTCTATTGAAGGAAGCTTCTAGAACGCGGAGTCAGCCAAATCCGACTGCCCAAAGAAGTCTTACCGCACACAGACCAACAAAATCTGTGAACGATACCCAAGGGGAATATTCTAGCAATAAATCCACCGATTGTTTACCAAACCTCTCTGAAACAATGACTACTCAATCGGTGCCCAACTGATTGTGAATCTTTCTCTAATTTTGCGGTCGATTGCTTGGGTCCAGTTCACTAGCAACCGTTTGCTTAATGTGACTAACATCGAGTTGGCGACTAGTTTCGTCACCTTTTCTTTCGCTCGCCAATCGGGTTAGTGCCTGCAACCTTGCAACATCAAACGCGTCACCAGCGCGATCGATATGAACCACCTAATCAAGCCGGCTGAATAGTTCAACATGCTTCCGCTAGTAACACCTGTCAATATACCCGCCGAGGCGATTGTTGTTCAATCACAACATTGCATGTCATCTAAATTGAGGAATTTGTAGCGACCTTGTCACCCACACACTTGACTGTTCAGCTCACAGTCGCTCACTGGATCACGAGACTTGTTTTTTTTTCATACAAACCACGTCAAATTAAGGTGACTCATCGGACATCGATTATCTGTACCGTCTAGTGAGCGTACCAACCACTCATGTGCTGTCACACCCAAGTACACGCAAACGGACCTACTCATAGGAACACCGCACACAGTCAACACTCACAGACTCGCGCGCGAACAGGAAGTTAATTACTCTCCACAAGTCCACGGACAATTATGGAACACGTGTAGCAGTCACACTGCGGAGAAAAACACGTTCCCGCCGTCCGAACTTTCACCAAAGAATTCTCACAGACTTGCTCCCATTTTGCATTGCATTTATTTTTATGCATGTGGCATCTCACCATTGTCAACTATACCAAAAACTTTTATTAGTTCATATACCTTCTGAACTGTATCATGGTCATCATCAGTAGCGCAGTAGGCAGATATTTGGTAATCAGTTCAAGTACTCTTAAAATAGCACTTATTCATCTAGACAGGCCCAAGCATGAATTCCTCTACGTGGCAATTACACCGAAGACATGGCATGTTCTTACAGCTTGGACAACAGAAACTGCACGAAAAACGCTGCCCAAACTGAGTAGAATCTGGTTGCAGACCTGTGTCTCTTCTCGGATGCTAAAACTGGGCCCAAGCATGAATTCCTCTACGTGGCATTTACACCGAAGACTTGGCATGTTCTTACAACTTAGACAACAGAATCTGAACGAAAAACGCAACCCAAACTGAATAGAATCTGGCTGCAGACTTGTGTCTCTTCTCGGATGCTAAAACTGATTGCACATATCCTCACTGAGCCGGTTGTAGCTCTGTTCAGTTAGTACTCCATATAAGGAAGAGGGGTTTTCTGAAAGTAACCACAGATTGCCCGGAATCCACTGAAACCCTCAACTCTACTAGATGCCAAACAGACAGCCCTGAATCAAAGCCGGAAAGCACGAGATAGCGTTGGATCAAAGTCGGACAGTCTTCGGCATAGTTCGCGACTTGTGTTCCTTAGACTGACGGCGCTACCTTCCCCTTCAATCCAGTTCACAAACTCGTTATCACAAGTGTTCTGTCCACTGCGTTTACGGTTCATCCGTCGTGTTCTGTAGTTTTTTCAAGAAAGCTTGTTGGCGGGTTCCTAGTACAGTGGAATAGCCAAGGTTAGTTCCGTCAGTTGACCTAGAAAATAGTGTCGAGTTGTCAGCACCCACCTCTGTCCTGGTGCGTACGGTCCAAACCACCCTGTCAGAACTCTACATGATCCTCACGGCACTTTATGGTAGACTCTTTGATGTGTCAGATTTTGCATGCGTGCGTGTATGTCCGTCAATCTATCAGCTGACCGCTTTGTGACTTTAGTGGCTAATTGGTTGTGTCCTGTGCGTTGCACGCGTGCGTGTCTGTTCGTCAATCTATCAGCTGACTGCTTCGATTTGAGTGGCTGATTGGTTGCGTCCGGTGCGTTGCACGCGTGTGTGTCTATCTCTCATCCACCAGAGAACTGTTGTGTGGTGCCTGCACACGCGAACAGAGTTGTGTGCTGGAAACCCATTTTGCAAATGCGCATGTTCTTTCCCAAAACTACCCTGAGAAGGGTGAGGAGAGGACATGATCACTCTTGATGAACCAAGCAATAAAAGAGGGTCTAGATCTTTCTGGAAGTTTAACTGCAGAACGAATTTTTAATTTCTGTCTTTAGGCACTTAAACATCAGTTTGCTTTGAAGTGACTGTCCGGGAAACTGGGGAACTAGGATTTGTTAAAACTACCGAGCTGTATGAAGGGGCTCCCAGGAAGTGACCTGGAAAGCCTTTCTACTTGGACTCAGTTCTAATACCGGCAGAATTTACCTATGAATGACAGTTGTGTTACTTCATTTTCAGGTACAGTATTCCTTAGCCCCATTGAGGCTATCCTTGCGGAACCCAAAATGCCGGTCCTGTTGATTGCTGACTGTAGTAGTGGACCAGCTAGTCTTATATCCAGCGCCGACATACACGTATGGAAGGCGCTCAAGTGCGTCTAAGTGATAGCGTGGGAACAATTATAAGCCCACGGGCTGTTGCATAGACGCTAGCTCGGCATGATGATGTCAATTTATGGAGGGAACAAGTACGCAGAAAAAAGTTGAACCCAGTGGGAAATTTCGCCTCGCTCACGTAAAACGCTAGACGAGAAAGCCAGTTTCCAAAGCAACAGGTTCGTCCTTCAACCTTGGGTGACTGCTTCGCGTGCACAATGGCATTGATCTTGTGGAGGGGTAGTTCTGTTCCGTGGTCCTTAAAATCTGAATCGCATCATTGGCTTAAGTGCTTCAGTTTAGCATGACTAAAAATCACGTGATCTGACTTTAAAGACGATATTCCCGTTACTAAGGTCGTTTGAACTTCTCCTAGGAGCTGCTGAGTTTGGCTAAAACCCACAGGAACTTGCGGTTACCCAAGCACTTTATCTCTGAGCTGATTCCGTTTGTCTTACTAGAATAGCTGGAGCGTACGAAGACAACACCAACAGGTTCCGAAACAGTGAGTTACCCTCTAATGGAAGATAGAGTGGAGAGAAGTTTAGAGTGTACCGTTTGTTCCCCTGATCAAATCAAAACAAACTACCATCTAGGATGACACTTTGGAATCGTTTCTGGGAGTTTTGTTGGCACAGCACATGTCATTGGGTAACTTAGTACATTGAGCAAGCCAATGGGACTGTCTTTGTAAGTAAACCCGAAATCGAAAAGTACATCACATAAAGACCAAGGAAGGAATAGTTTGCAAACGAGTGTATTTTGCTAATTTCGTGCCATTTTGTTTCAAGTAGAACATAAGGTTGACGGTGGAAACTCGGGGACTGCGCCTACCTGATGAGCCCGAAACGGAAGGGCGAAACCGGTCGTGGGCTGTCGACGAATTTTCAGCTACCTTATGAGTAGTGCATTAACAAATAGTCCTGATCGAATCGTTTAATTTCATAGCAAAAAGCCCATTTTCAAAAGTTGGACAGTGGTTCCTAGATTCTCGTCCGAACAGCCTTCATCCTGTCCGGGTACAGTTAACCTGATGAGTTCATTGGATTCGAGTTTCAGCCTTATTCGAGCGCATCAGAAGTGCATATCCGCGGCAGCTTCGGGGTTGAAACTCCGGGGGGAGGTAACACACAAGGCGAGTGCGTTACTAGCACACCTCTGAACAAACGAACGTGTTCACGCGTGAACGGGGTAATCGGTTCGGTCGACACCCCGACCGAGTGACTGACCCGCCTGCCGGGACTTCCCTATCATCGACGCTTGAAACCTGCAGGATACTTTTTTAGCCCTCGTAGTTGGTTGAAGGATTGGTACAACTCACGTACAAAATGAATTCGCCAGGAGTGGAAGCGGATTGTTCAAACGAGGATGACATGAGCTCGAATTCTAAAAATCCCAAAACCATTTACAGCAAATACACGGAGACCACCTTAACCCGCCTATCTCCTGTTCGAACCTCCAACATTCGTCACGCTGATGGGCCCCGTTGGGGTGGGGCTCTTTTTCACTGCTTTGGCATCTATTGTCGTCTAATAAAGCGATCTCAACTTGCCAATTCAATGTTCCCCGAGGGAGCGAGCTGACAAAATGTTAGCAGATCGTAAGGTTAGTGGCACAGCACAATTGTCCTCCACTTTCTGGGTTTTCAAGCGTGACGATATCACTCGGTTTACCAATATACACACTGACACACATGAATCTGGAATACCTTTGACGTTGTCACGTGACCAATAGACAACATTCTTGAATCTGAGTCAACTCCAATCAACAGGCATACCAAACGAGTGCAGCGCGCCGCACGGATGCAACACGCTCTAATAAAAGGAACATCGCAGACGTCTTCTGAATCGCCGTACCCCCACAATGGTGTTTGCCGAGTTTCGGAACTTGTTTGATAAGATAATTGTTCCAGACAAAGTCGGCGTGGAAGATGTTGTCGATCGTTTGACCCTGTTTACAGCCGTTCTCTTCGCTCTGGCATCGCTCCTCGTATGCATGAAACAGTACATTATGAGTGCGCTGAATTGCTACATACCTGTCGGCCCCAGTGGAGAGTTGTTCAGGGATTTTGTAAACTCATACTGCTGGGTACATGGAACCATTCCGTTGAAACCGCACGAGCCGTTTCCCAAATCCGAAGAAATGTGGGATGAGTATGACCGAATTCGTCGAATCAGTAAGTTGTATCACTGTTTGCTAGATGACAGAGTTTGGTGCAAATTGCCTAGTCATCTTGTTGTGCTTTCGCGTCGCGAGATTTTGTGTTTTGCTAACACCAAGATAAGCACTGGCCAGTTCCTGGATTCGATTGAGCGTCCTACTATCGACAACAGCAGAAGTCCTTCATCTCCGCACAGCCTGACAACTCACGCACTCACGTGAAATTGACGCATGAACCTAAAGTGACGATGAAAACAGCTGGCTACAGTAGCTCCTGTTATTTGAGTAAACTTTGCCGAACGCAGAAAGTAGTCTTTCGTTTAATGTACGGGCTTCCTCTTTTATTTTTACCATGAAATTCACTCAGAGGTTTTTTATCAGATTAATCAATTTGGGACTAAGACAACAATGGCAAGCGGTATTACTGGTTGTCTTGACTCAGTGATCGATCGATGAGGAGATGAACAGAAGGCAATTAAGTTTGAACCAGCCGTTTAAATACATCAGCTGTTGTGGCGAAGAACTTGTGACCGGGAGTTCCTTGGTTCGAGCCCAGTTCTGACTTTTTGAATGTCCCTCGAGAAACTTGGCAGTACTGTAGCGGCCGTACCCCTTCCAATTTGCATGCAAGAAAAGAACGTCGCAACCAAATGGACGCTGTTGGGTTTTCTTCATCCGGTCAAAACATGAAAAACACTTTTTTCGTTATTAGAAGAGGCCTATTACGGGGACTGTGTCCATTTGATGAGCTCCAAGAGGGGCGAAACGGATCGTGGGCTGTCGAGAAGTTTTTGGCAATCTTGTAAGTAATTTCTTTTATGAAAGAAGGGGCAGATTACCTTAGTATTACACTACTTTTACACTACTTCCCGTCACGGAGAGATTGGGCCTTGTCATGGTGTGATGTCTTGCGCACCTCAGCTACCCATTGAGCTATACTGGGGGCGCCCCTGCAACACTCACAGAGTCTCTCATACCAGGTTGGTCAATGGTTAGAGGTCTGATAAACGCAGCCTCCTGGTCCTCCAGGTTGGGGTTTGGAACTGTGGTGACTTTTTCCTTAGAAATGGTAATGCATTTGCGTTACCCGCCAAACACCGCTGCCTTGTGGTAAGGCTTTTCAATCAAAGACCTTCGTTGAGTATCCCAATAGTCCTCCAAGTCAAACTCAGAGTGGCGGGAGCAGAGAGGTGTCCAACCCTTGACCTGGTAGAGGGATATGAAGGAGATCACGAAACGCTTGAGTGCTGTCGGTGCTACTCGCCTTCCAGGGTGGGGACCGCGTGATCCCCACTGCGGCCGGTTGGAAACACACTTTGCACTTCGTCAATTGTTTACAAATTCGTTTTCAAGTAATGGTTGATAAAAACCTGGAGACTACGCCTACCTGATGAGCTCCAAGAAAGGTTCAAACGATAGTGTATCGGGGAGTTATATATATATATATATATATATATATATATATATATATATATCAGCACGAGCGTACTTAAATGAACCACTTTATTCGAGCGCGCCGTTGCGCCTTGATCCTGAATATGAGGAGCCCAGCCATGTTACATCTGCATGCCGAGGCCCATTCGGAATGAAACTAGCTGTGATTCGCCTTTGTCAGGATATCTGCATTCTGTCACAGACGTGGGATTCAGTCGCGTGACTTGGTAGCATTCGGATGAATTCCATACTACTGAGTATCAATCAGTAGGCGAAAAGTAACGCATTCATGGGTTAACGGTCAAGCCCTCAGGCGTGTTATGCCACATCTATGGTCCTAATCAGGCGACTAGGCATGTTGAAACGAACTTTCTTTAATCGTCTGGTAGGCATGAAAATATTTTCAAAACGTATGAAGAACCGTAGCTGGAGTTTGAAGGCAGTGTGCTAGGAGGACCAAGTTCATATACTCTGTACTGTAGGCTAACCAGAAGATATAGGGAAGCAATCTCATAGGACGCAAGGACCAACAATGGCTTCAGCTCTAGTCCCTTAGCCAAACCACGAATAGCTGTTGTGATTGGTTGGCCAGGTGAAAAATGTGGTAGTACCAATCATCTTTCGATCACATCACTTGGTCACGTACTGATGAATTTTTAGATGGAAGGTTCGTTCACGTTGCGAAATTACCCTTCCTAATCGTAAATCGACGGCGGTTTGAAGTGATCTGATAGCCCCCAGTTGAGGTTTCGGTCGGACGGTTAGTTGTTCAACGACTGGCAGGAACGCAGTGGGTTCGAAGCTCTCCGAATTTCGTGAGAGTGACTCTAACGAAACAGCTGTACGACGCTTTCCGGACTTCATTGAGAGGATGAAGGCTCCTCGAAACACCATCAATCTATAAGTAGCTCAGAGGAATGGGTTGGACTTCCATCTGAGAAGTCATCTTTCGAGGAGCCAGTCAACACGTGACTGTAACAGTGGCCGCAAGTTCTAAACCACCAATCAGTTTCCGGCGTGGCTGTGCAAACAGACGTGACTAATCACTTGCATGGGGTCAAACGATTACTCTCGGTCATTTAAAATGCTTAAATTTGACAGTTCAGACATCAGTATTCTATTCGCTCTCGCTGTTTGTGTCCACAACAACCCCAGAAATTTGAGTGAATTGAGGGAATTTTGAAGTCAAAACCCGCTGATTCACCCTGTGTTGAAATGTCGAGGCTGGAACACCCTTCCGGTGCCGAGGTTCCATGCCGCATGAAGGAGGCACGAGGGCTGGGGTACTGCCACGTTTCCCAAGCCTAGACCAGGGACGTCGAGAGACAGAGATCGGGTTCGAACCACGGATCTTCCGGCCAGTAAATTCGCGCTCGAACCACCTGAGCCATCTCATCCCTGAAATGTCGAGGATTCGAGGCTGACCTTGTTAAGTAGATGTGCTATTGTTGTGCGTAAGTTTAGTTGAGGAGACTGCATAAAGCGGATAGTTGACGTTAAAATATTCTATTTGGGTGGACACGTGGACAAATGTGAGTTACTCAGTGCTTCGGGTGTTCACCCGCTGATTAGCCTCTGGTTGTTCTGATCGACGGGTCACATCTTGGTCTTTAGTTTCGTCATTTGGTGTAGGACAAGCGTAGGATCTAAATAAAAACATTGGGATGTAGAAACAAATGTTTCAGTCAGTCAAGTAGTACAAACATCACAAACCGCCCAGTAAGGGACATTCAAAGCGCGCAGGAGAGACATGACAACCAATGGAAGGGTTCGCTAACAAGAGAACAGAACGGAAGCTCGTTCTGTAGATGAATTCCCTCTATACTGAAAAACTGGAGCGATCTAGACTACTATTTCGATCGATTATGGACCGTCGGTTCTTGTTCCAGGCCATCATCTGTTCGTGAGATGCGCGATGTTTCTACCCACAAGACGTTGATACCCTATTTAGGACGAAGAACACGCTACATCGGTAGCTAGACTCATTCGCGTACCAGGGCAGACTCTCCTGAATTCCTCCTGAATCTCTCGTTTATGATGTCTCTAAGCAACTGAATGTGCTGCACCAGGCCGTCTCAGTTACTGCAACATTCGAGATATCACAAAACGTTCTATAAACGTAGCACAATACCCATAAGGCTGCCGACGGCCCACGACCGGTTCCACCCTTCTAGGAGTGAAAAGTTTTAAGTTGCTTTGTGAGTAGTTTCGGATATCGCACTAACCATAAGACGGTCTGTTGCAGTACACTCAGTTGGAAATGAATAGGAACGAGAGACCCACGTCGGATTCAGGTGAAAACCAAATGGGAATGCAAATAACTGTAGTCGTGCATTTTGGGTTCAACTGGACAAAAAGGTTGACAGAAACGCTGGGACTGCCCCAAGAAGGGCTTACATTCGGGGTATTCGTCTCTGAAGGAGCCGTTCAGAAAAATGGTCACGTGAAATTGCTAAGCGACTGTGTTCTATCTTAACATGAGTTAATCAGCGATCCGCATCGAATGTTACAATCGTTTGCACTTTGGAATCTCTCTAAATTAGTGGCTGTCAACGTGTCAATGATATAAAGGTCGACTGAGTAACAAAACATTTGAGAAAAAAAGTTTACCGGAATCCACTAGGGTTAACTGTTCACAGTGATGACATCTCAAAAGACCTGGAAATACAATCCTTGGAACATTCGTTGTTTGGAACGAAACACCGGTGTAGTTGTCTCTATGCCCACTGACTCACACACACACACATACACGCACACACACATATACACACACAGGACTCACCACTATCGTCCACTGCGAAGTAACCTAATTCTAATGCACTACTCAAAAGGTTGCTGAAAATCCGTCGACAGCCCACGACCGGTTTCTCCCTTTTTGGGGCTCATCAGTTAGGCGCAGTCCTAGTTCTAACGCTTTCTGCTGTCATGTGGTCGAACAAACAAATGTGTCACAGCGACGTGCCGGTGGATTTCATACCTTAGAAGCAGCATCACTGACTTATCGATGCAAACGGCTTGTGTGACCACCTTGATGTGTTGCCAATGGACAGAGCTGGCTCACTCAGACGTGGTAAGGGTAACACAGAAACAACCGTTTGGCTAGGCACATCATCTCAACTAGGTGGCTTTTTAGTAACAACAAGCCAAAGAAGACAACACAAGCATTCAATAAATGCTTGTGTGGAGTTTCCTCGACAGTCGCCCCGTCGTCGCAGCTGCCGGATGCTGAAAACCCTCTTCGGAAACCATCGTCTAGAAAAAGGTGGCAGTTTGAACGTTCTATCACCCAGCTGCGCACGGCTGATCCACAGAAGCATCTGGACAGAATATACCCTTACTCAACCGCCTATCACATGGTTCACGTCACATGATCCCGTCTTGGCTGGTTTCTGGAGTGACTGTATGTGCGACTAGTGAGGTGTCATCTCTTAGAGGAGCTGGCGACAGAACGGGTAAAAACGTTCTGTCGCTGGTGGGACAAGACGTGTCTCGGCGAACATGAATTTGCCATCCTTCAAATTCAGATTAGGGAACACTGCATCTGGCAACCAAAGAACAAAGTGGTCCGAGCTGTAACAAGTAGGACAAAGGAAACTCCTTCTCAAGGGTTTAGTTTGATGCGGCTGACATGCTCTAGTAGTGTCTGATGTAGACAACCAGTCCTTAATGATCGAACCTGGGGATCCACAAGTCCCCTGTTTTCAATAGATGAATTTCCTGTCACTCAAGGTTTGGCGGGTGTGTATGCTTACAGCCTGGGTATTGCCCACACCACTGACTCTACGCAACCTTCTTATGGATGGATACCCGCTGGAAAATGAAAGATTTTTGACTGTCTGCAGTTAATGGTGCGTTTTAAAGAAGGCCACTCTATCTTCTTGTATCTTGATGGTGATGAGGACGACCCGTGAGAGTTAGTGGGGATCACGCAATATGGGTTGCTGTTAATTCACGGTAGGAACGAACTTCTAGAATTTTGTACCGTCACTTCAAAATGGAGAATGCCTAGCTTTGTACTAAACAGGTTCACTTTGTGAAGTAACGGTATTTTCTCAGCTTAGTTCTCGGTCTAAGCCTCCCAAGCTAGCGTTCACGGCAAAAACAACCACCAAAGGTGCACAAGGTCTATTAATGCCCCAAACGAAGTCAGGAACAGTTGTACAGTGCTTCATATCTATAGCGTGGGCGGTTATAACTTTCTGGAATTTTTGACGCGTTCTGGATGCGCCATTGGCAACCGACATTTCGCCAATACTGGGTCATGATTGGCTCTTGGGTCCAGGTTGTTGAACAATCGGATCTCGTCTTGATTCCGGACCGGCAAGCGTTCCGAATTCTTGGTTAATCTTGCGTGGGGTGAACTCCTCGGCCTTAGCAGCACCTGACTGCGAGCGGTAAAGAGGGATCCGTGTGGAATTCCGCCTAACACTTTGCGAAGCCCACTGAAGAAATATCAAGTAGCTTATCCATGTACATTTCAGAGACGGGAAATGGTGTAACGGTGGATACTACTGATGAGGCATGCGAGTAGTGCTTTCTCGTAAATCCGCTTCGCGTCCCTTAAAAAGTGGGATCTAGTACGGAATTAGTGGAGTCGCTCTTTAGCATTTGCTTGGATTTGAGTGACAGTCAATGAACATCCAGGGAAGTTCAAGGAGAAGATGGATATTCACTTTTTGTAAACAAGATGCATATGAGAGTTTCGCGCCCTGTCCAATAGTCTGTAACTGTCTAGCTGATGTTTTCGAATAAACGACTCCGCGGCGAAGGGCTTTCACTGACGGCTGGTTACAAGGTACCCAGGAGAGGATTCGAACTTTGGTAATCCACACATGAGTCTACGTCATCAACCGGTGGTTTGCCTGCCCTCAAACAAAGCGCCCGAACAGGGGCTCGAGCCACAAGCCCCCAAATATGGTGCTCTGTCGAACGGGCAAAACAAATAATCCAATCGTTGGTTTGAACAATTTCCTTGGCAGAATATACCTATGGGAGTTTATCGAAAAGCCTACCTTTGAGAGCCCGTCACTGCAACGCACTTGTCTAGTTGCTACATATTATGGCCTAATTTGAATGTGGCCCACACTATCCAGAAAGACATTTTTCAATACCTCATCATCGGATAGTTTTCCGGTACATGGACCAAGTGGTTAGAGCGCGAATTAGCTGACCAAAAGGTCTGTGGTTCGAACCCGACCTCTGCCTCTCGATTTCCTCTGTCTAGGCTTGGGCGGCCTGGCAGTATCCCAGCCCTCGTACCCAGCCTTCGTGCCCAGCCTTCGTGCGGCATGGCAGCTAGGCACCGAAAGGGTGCTACAGCCGAACGATTTTTTCCGGTACGTGTCTAAATTTAGTAATCGAAATCGTCACCCCTATATTCGATTTAAATCAAAATGGACCACATGAACCAATGACGAAATGTGATGCATACCCAGAATAAAGTACGAATGTCTGAGGATGATGGTGGTTGAACACGGGCCGAAGAAAGAATGTTCCTTCGAGCGTGTATACAGGTGTGTGTGTGTGTGTGTGCACACACTCACCTGTTATCTTTACGAGATAACCGTCTCAAGAAAGGACACACGCGCACATATGCTTACACCCACCACTCGGATCGCTGAATGAGCCGCTTAGCGGAGCTTGCCGTTGTTATTCATCCGAGGTTGTGTGCAGCACACATGACCTACGAACACACACTCACACACACTAGTGCGCAAACTCAAAACCTGGCTCATTAGCATTCAGCGGTCAGTCAGTGGGACGATGCAGCCAAAATAGCCGATGAACAAGAACCATTGCGGTTCGCTTAAACACCACTGCACTACACGTTGACCACTCGTTTTAAAACAACTTTGTCAACAACTTCGGACTATTCACCACCAGCGAAGGCTCAACAATCGTGACCATGCTGGCAACGGATTTTATGGATCTAATTTCCACTGTGACTCTGTCGGATCGATTCCGACTGGAAGATTTCGCAGATCGATTACATCTGGTCACAGTGGTCCTGTTCAGTCTGGCCGCGTCGATTATTGGGTTGAAACAGTACGTCTTCAACCCGCTGTCTTGTTACATTGCGATCGGACCGAGTGGGGATGAATTTGCTGATTATGTGCACTCCTATTGTTGGGTACATGGAACCATTCCCCTGAAGGCTGGAGAGCCAATACCCGACACTCCTGGTGAATGGGAGCAGTATGACCGCCTGCGTCGTGTGAGTAAGTTGATTTGTTTGGCGTTTTACCAGAGAACACACGTGTGACTTTTTTTTGGATCCCTCTTTGTAACAATCTCTGAAAACTGTCGTATTACAGCGCTCACCAAAGCTGGAAAGAATTAGACCAGGAGCCTACTAGTTCCGGTAGAGACGACGACACTATAGTGAAGAGGGATCAAGTCTACAGAGGAGTGGGTTCGAACCTCGCACCTCCTGTTTACTGTCTTTATCTCTTGGTGGAAAGCACTGCATCTCAAGGTGATACTTATATTACCTGCAACCTTTGTCGCTCTTTCTTGCTGACAGCCATCAAACGTTGGGAATAAATCACTAAATTTGTCGTTCCTTCCACAGATACCACCCCTTCAAGAATCGCCGAACCAAGTAATAACTAATCGTTGAGCCGTAGCACCCTTTCAGTGCCTGGCTGCCATGCCACTCAAAAGAAGCACGAAGTCCGAGATACTGCCAAGATGCACAAGCCTAGACGGGGAAAGTCGAGATGCGTTCAAAACACAGTCCTTCCGATCCTTGAGTTCTCGCGTTAACCACACAGTTGTGTGCAGTCCAGTTACTATGACATAAGTGTAACGTGAAGGGATTCGCGATATCACTTATCCCGTACATGAATGGACTGTATTCAGGAAGCGCTCCAAGTGTATAATTTACGTTTCGTATAAAACAAGTTCATATCCTCATAGAGGAAACTACTCACAAGGTTGCTGAGAAAGCTTCGACAGCCCACGACCGGTTTCGCCCTTCCAGTTCGGGCTCATCAGGTAGGCACAGTCCCGAGTTTCCGTCAACCTCATGTTCTACTTGATTTGCAAATGAG